TTTAAAAATGAGCAAAGGAGGGGCGCCTGGGTAGCTCAGTTGGTTAAGCGACTGCCTTCGGCTCAGGTCATGATCCCAGGGTCCTGGGATCGAGTCCCACATCGGGCTCCCTGCTCGGCGGGAGGCCTGCTTCTCCCTCTCCTACTCCCCCTGCTTGTGTTCCCTCTCTCACTGTGTCTCTCTCTGTCAAATAAATAAATAAAAAATAAAATCTTTAAAAATGAGCAAAGGAGCTAAATAGACATTTCTCTGAAGATGGCACACGAATGCCCACAAGCACATGAAAAGATATCAGCGTCCTTCGTCATTAGGGAAATGCAAATCAGACTGCAGCAAGATACCACTTCACACCCAAGAGGATGGCGTGAATCAAAAAGCAGACAAAGTCGCAGGTGTGAGGGACGGACGGAGCACTGGGAACTCCCGGGTGCCGCCGGTGGGGGTGTAGTTGGATGGTGCGGACCCCGTGGCTGCTTCGGAAGGTAAACGTACAGCTGCCGAAGCGCTTTCCTCCCTCCGCTGAGAGGTTATAGTTAGGCTGAGATGCTGTTTGTGAGGAAACGCGGAAAAGGCCTACTTGTTGCCCTGTAAGGAGGAGGTTTCAGAGTAATGAGTAAATGTATTGCTCTGCATGCGTGTGTGTGTCCCTGTGTATAAACAGGTAAAACTATGAAGAGGACAGGTGTGGTTTCGGTTTCTATTTTGAGGATTGGAGAGGCAGGTGTGAGTTTTTCCCTTCCTCAGTGGTTTAGATGTTGGTGCTGACCACTGTTTGGGATTAAAATTACCCACATATGCCTGAGAATTCTTCTCTTTCGAAAGAGTCCATGCGGAATGATGAGAGCAGACCCGGTGGAGGTCGTAGCCCCAGCAGAGCCCGTCTTCAGTCCCGTCATCCTTCGGGGGTCTTCTGACTCTGGAGGGCTGCGTTGGGGAGAGCGCCTTGGGGCGTCGGCAGCCCTGCCGGGGGTCTGGCTGTGCGAGCGCCGCTCCGGGGTGGAGGGTGGCTTAGGCGGTCTTGGTGCCCACCTGGTTCTGGAGTGCGGTGGCCACTCATCTACAGGAGTCGTGCCCACAGTTCGGGCTTCGTTTTCAAGTGCTGGGATGGTGTGTATCAAACGAGCCGAGTCTGGGGGATCAGGAGTTGTAGAAATTTATTTGTTTGTTTTAAAGATTTTATTTATTTATTTGACAGAGACACAGCGAGAGAGGGAACACAAGCAGAGGGAGTGGGAGAGGGAGAAGCAGGCTTCCCAAGGAGCAGGGAGCCCGACGCGGGACTCGATCCCAGGACCCTGGGGTCATGACCCGAGCCGAAGGCAGACGCTTAACCATCTGAGCCCCCCAGGCGCCCCAGGGGTTGTAGAAATGTAAAGGAAGGTCTGTGCTCTACCGGGAACGGTGTCCTCCTGCCGGGTGAGGGCCCACAGTCGGCCTTACCGTCAAGTCACAGCGGTACACCGTGTGCCGGAGGGGTGTGCCTTTCAAGGAGGACACTATGGAAGTCGGTACCAGTGCCACTTGCCCCAGCTGCTGGGCTTAAAATCCCAGTTAGAATATGGAACGTGCTGCGTCTGGGTCATTCGAACTGAAACGCACGTGGAGAGCAGTCTCTGCCGTGTTGTAGCTCAGCGATGTTTTAGCTCGAGCGTGCGCGGGCCCTCCGTGCCGAAGTGAGGTGAGAGCTTGGAGCTCTCCTCGCTCCCTGACGTGGGCGGGGGGGGCGCGTTGGGGCGTTTTCCCAGCATCCTTCCGTGAGACTTGGCAAGCAGAGAAGTGGAGAGAATTGTACGCTTGTGTGCCTGCCTCCCCCCAGATCCCGTCACGAATGTTCATTGCTCTCGGGCACATCACCTCCATCGCTCTGTCCACCAGGCCTCTTCTGGGCAGAGCATTTCAATTTTGTATACATCCGTACGTTTCCTTGTAAATACTTTAAGTGTGCAAATCACTCACGGGGGCCCAATATTTGTTTTCTTTTTTAAATTTGACGTAAACTTTACAGAGGGTGAAATGTGTAAGTCTTAAGTCCGTATTCCTGAGAAGCACTCTTCTGTGTTTAAGGACTGTTTTCGTGTTTTTCTTCCCCCGGGTGAAGCTTAGCTGTCTTAGAAACCCTTCATCAAGGTTCAGTTCTAAACCCTTTCCCCCTTGCCTGGCTCCCAGGGTCTTGACAATGTTCACAAACAGAGAGTAGCTGAAGTGCTGAATGACCCTGAGAACATGGAGAAGCGCAGGAGCCGGGAGAGCCTGAACGTGGACGTGGTCAAGTACGAGAGCGGCCCTGACGGAGGGGAGGAAGTGAGTATGAGCGTAGAGTGGAACGGGGTAAGTACAGTACACAGCCGCCAGCGTGCGCAGGCAGGCGCTTGTCTGTCGCCGGGAGGCCGCCTGGGCCACGCTCCCAGCAGGAGTGCTGTCCCGCAGTTTCCTCCGGGCTTACATGCTAGACACTGTCCTTTTTTCAAATTAAGTATGAATTAAGCTTTTTGTAAGTGCTTATCTTCTGCTAATAATGAAGTCTGTTTGTTCAAAGTGGTCATTTTCTTTTCTTTAGGGACCCATGAAAGCTGTTTGGCTTAACTTTGAGCACTTAAATGCTGATTGAGTGTCCTGGTTATTTAGAGCCATAATCCATAACCTGGTTTTATTTTAATGTTAGGATTAGTGTGGCAGAAAACTAACTCGCTTTTTTAACTTACCCATTTTCATTGCTAACTCCAGTGCTCCTAATTTCACTGACCAGGCTGCTGTAGATTTTGTGAGATTTAAATTCCTTAAAGGGAAATGATGTTTCGAACAGAGCTTGTCTCTAGAGAAGAACAGGCTGGGGCAGCTGCTCTGCATGGCCCACCGCGGTGCTGAATGTCCTGTTCCCACTGAGGGTCCCACGGCTCATCTCTCTTCACAGTCCTCTGCCAGAGGTTTTCGGATCCAGAACACGTGCCCGTGTTTGGAACATGTCGCTCCTGGCTCTACCTCTGGGTTTCACTGGTTTGACTTGATGGAGATTTTCACCACTGCTGTTTATCCAGTGGTTGCCAAAGAGCGTGTGGCCTCCTGGACATTTTTTTCTAGTGAACGTTGGTCACACATGGGTAATACTTTTGTATGTTGAGCTGGTGTCTTTGGAATTTTGCTTTTATCAGGGAGAGTTGAATGCAGGATTAGGTGCACGATCAATTTTTTTTTTTTTTTGAAGTCGCAGTAGGTGCAGTTTGATTAGGTAATTGTGCATATGTTTTGCCAAATAGTAATTTTGGGTTTTCCTATGCTCTGTCTTTTTGAATGTATTTATTTTTGGGATTTTCTAATAGCTGGAGTGGTTTGGTAAGGATGAGACATTTTCTACAATAATGGTAGTGGCCAAAATTTCAGGGAGAGAGCGTCTTTTTGACTGTCTTTATCTGGCAGCTGCCTTGCTTTGGTGTTTCCTGTGCCAAGACAACCAATCAGCATCTGCTTTGACCATTCTCCCATTGGGCAGTAGTCTAACACATAAATGATGATGGCTAGGCCCTCCTCTCGCCCGCATCTGGCCACACTGTGTACTGTACTCTCCCCATGATTCCTGTTGTCCTGCATGCCTTGTGGAGAGGGTCATGTCCCTTCTCTAGTTTGTAGAAGCCAGGGTGCAGATTTTGACACTCTTGAATGAAGTTCTGGAGGAACTTTCTCTTGAGACAGTATTTCTAGGTCAATCTTTCTGTGCAATCCTATAATAAAATTATTGGCAATGCAGAGTTCTGTTACCATCTTCAAGACTGAGACTCAGGGGTGAGAGAGAGCTGCTTCCCATCCAGTCCGTGGAGGGCTGGTAGGCGGCTTCCTGTCAGGCCTGCTGCCGGAATCACAGAAGCGGCCCCTCCCGAGTGCACGCTTGGCCCTCCTTCCTTTCACATTTCCTCTCTCGCTTTGGACATGCTCTCACTTAGGACACTCACACACGGGGCTTTGGACACCTTTTTACTTGACTCTTGGACACTAGAGGCTTTGCGTCTCTGACAGAATCCATCGCAGGGCTCATCGATTGGCAGTGGTCCACTGGATGAAAGAATCTAGATCCCAGATCTTAGGTCATCCTGTACAGTGGTTCCAAACTCGCTTTGAGCAGCCGAAGGGGCCCTTTCTTCACAGAGAGTCTGAGATCAAGCAGCAGGTGACTCTAGAACTGCCCAGGTTACCCAGGGGATAGCCGCCCGGGCTGGTGTGCTCACCGCCAGGCCCCTGAGGCCCCTGCTCAGGCTCATCCCACCCCTGCCTACGCAGGAGGCCTGGCTCGCAGGTTCTGAGAAGGTGGTGCTGAGCTCTCCCGACATTTGGTTGGAATTTTCATTTTCAAAGCGCGCGGTGATTGTTGAAGAGGCAGCACAGGCAGTGTACATGCACACCGGGGTTTGAGTCAGCCTGATTGAGGTGTAGGCACGTGCGACTAAATCTGAGTCCACTGCAGCCCCCGCGTTGGTCTTTGTCCAGGTGTGAGACTAAATGTCTCAGGCCCTCAGAGTGGCAGTGAGGAGCTCCTGCAATGACAAGGCACATGGATGAGAACGGCTGCCGCCCACAGCCATTTACCTGTGTGCAGCGAGGTTCTGGTGCTGGGCAGTCCAGATCAACTGGAAACGGATTGGGAGTTCAGGTGTCAGGGGCTAGACTTGTCATCTGTAATTTCATATTTCAAGTTGTGGGTTCTGTAAAGGTGGCTTCACTGTTCTTACTGGTTTATGTTCTTCTAAGAACTTGTTACACATTTATAATGAGAAAATGCCACCTAGATTTACTTATATTGGGGTTCTGCATTAGATTTTAAGTTTTTTAAAAAGGTTAAGTTTTTAAAAAGTGCTCTTTAAAAAGTTTAAAAACCGCTACTGTAGGGAAAAGCATCGTGTTGCTGTGTGGGGCAGGTGCTCTTTCATTGGGGAGGACGGCAGTCCCGTTCCATTGCCACAGCCGTGTATGTGAGACCGAGCAGGTGTGATTGGTCCCAGCATTCAGAATAACATGTAAAACAGTGAGCAGTGTGGGCAGAGGTCAGGCAGTCCAGGTTCCAGTCGCACCCTGCAGATGGGGGAAGTCTAGGTCAGCACAGATTTCCATGCTGTTAAAATACAAGAAAAGTAGGGTTACTGAATATACTGTAATCATTCATATGAGATTTCTGGATCAAGTTCTTAGGGAAGTGCAATTCTGTTCTATTAAAATATATACTATTAAGGTGGTGATTAAAGAACTTTAAAATGTAACTTCCTCAAACTTATTTTTGTATAAATAGTACACAGAGCTGAAAGTCATTGTCAAGATAAATCCGAGTTCTCTTTTCTGGTCCCCCTAAAAGCGCAAATGCTGTGTGCAAAGGAGTCCTTTCTGGCTAGCTTGGATTCCCTTTACCCTCTGTGCACATGGCTGCCATCCCCTCCGAGGGCTGCTGGGACCATCCCTGGAGCCTGGGCCCCTCGCACACGTGGGAGCCCTGCGCTGCGCGGTTATGAAGTGATCATACTTGCAGCTGTCCCACTAGGGCCCCAGGAAACATCACGCCCTCCATTCTGTCCGTCTTCTCCACTCTGACCTTTTTGTTTCTGACTTGCCAGTTCCTTGCAGGGCCCTTCAGAAGGAGCCTGCCCCACCCGCACCCCGTGTTAGGGCTTGTTTTCCAAAGACACTGAACTCTTGCCCAAGATGACTGAGGAATGGGTTAGTATATGCTGTTAATTAGAAATAAAGTTTTAGTTTTAAAAATTACATTAGGAAGACAACTAGAATATAACAAAGAAAAAATAAAGAACAAATCACCTGAACTCTATAGGTCATAATTATTGCCATGCGTTTTTTAGCCAATACACTACACTATTCATTTCTGTTCAGAAACCCACTTTTTTGATGTAAGTATTCTTTCATGGCAATATAAAGAAGTAGACTGTTTTTGAAAGAGTTACAATGCAGGAGACCTCCCAGCCCTCCAGCTCTTACTGAATAGAAATCCACCGGGGCTTGGGGTGGGTTTCTGCTGTTGTTCCCGCTGGTTCTGGAGGGCGAGTGCAAGGAGAGGGTGGGCAGCCCGCTCCATCACCTCTTCCCTAGCCAGGTGCTGTGTCCGGAGCCCAGCTCCTGTGCACCTGCTGCTGCAGGGGTGAGGGATTGGGCAGGGGGAGAGTGAGTGAGTGAGTGTGTGTGTGTGTGTGTGTGTGTGTGTGTTTCGCGTGAAGTATGTCTGGGATCTGGTCACTCTCCCATAGCCTGCTGAGTGGCCAGACAGGAATGTTCTAAGTAACACTGCTGTAGTGTAGCAGTGAACTCTGAAATGAACTGCGGGAGGAGGTGTACTGTTTGCAGAATTAACAGTTTAATGTCCTTTTTCTGAAAGAGCAACAAGAACTTATGTTTTCTTGTCCTCCCAACATTCGTGGGGAGTTGGTAACAAATCTTATTTTTCCATTTTAAAGATGAGAAAAATGAAGCTCGGGCTGGTTAAATGACTTGCTGAGCGTCCCATGGTGAGTCAGAGCGGGCGGGGGCTCGGTCCCCGCTGTCCGGGGCTTCATACGAGACCACTGGGGTTCCAGTCTGCTGAGACACGGGGTGCACTGCTGCCTGTGGAAATCCATTTTCTAGAATTAATCTTATTTTGGATTATCAACTGCATGTTTAAAATGTGCTAAAGACTTCTAAAGTCAGTGGTTTCTTCAAGTTTCTGAACTGTCTAAACTGTTAGTGCTTTTAAGAGAAAGTCCTCCCTGATTTCAGAGAGAACTTTATAGTTTAGGGATATAAAACGATTTCTGATGAAGTTAAAGGTTTAATGAATGGCCTCTTCCTGTGTGTAGCCTTTCTTTTGGTCACTGTCGGATGTTTCTCAATGTGGAATCTCCTTTATGTACAGTTACTGGAAAACCTCGTTACAGTAAGTATCATGGAGATTTCCAGCACAGTGCTAATCCATGCTCGAAACTGGAATTTTGTTTTGATGATCAGGAGTGATTAGTCTTGATAACGTAAAAGATAGCATACGGCCCAGTACCTCTTGGTACTGGGCTGATAGAAGCAGGCGGAAGGTCATCCCAAATACTAAAGCGATTAAAAGCGCTGCTGAGATTCGTGACCTAGAAATACTGTAAGCCACGCTGCGGTCAGTGGGGGCTGGCTCTGTTCTCACAACGGTTTCACTGGGCTCTCTCTCCGTTTCTGTCTGACAGGCCTAGCTGCCTCATGTGACGTTCACACTGTGTCCTGCATGACGGGCGGCTCCTCCTCCAGCTTTACTTCTCTCTCCAGTGCTGACTGCTGTGCTTAGCGACCCCTAGGATTCTTGTCAGAGCTCCGCCTCTCTGTGACTGGCCATTCCTTTCGGTGCTGCTGTCCTTTTTGGGGGGTTCCTTATCTCTGTATACATGTAGCTTTGCCAGATACGTACTTAGTAATATAAACTGTGTTAATAAAAACCATTTACTGTGTGATACATGAGTTTAAGAATTAAGAGCGATTAGTTGTTCACTTTGATCAAAGGTAGTTAGAAGTCTCCCGCAGGTGTTAATGCCGTGGCATGACCGTGACCGTTGAATTAGCTAGGCTGTAGGAGTAGGGCATGTGCTGCTCCCGTTGCCCCTCCGAGACCCGGCGGGGCCACCTGCGCCCCGGGCTCTCCCCTTAGGATCTTGCTCCAGTAGCGTTTGCTGTGTAGTCTCTGTGACATTTTGGCAATTTTGCTTTTCTCCACTAATCTTTAAGTGTTCAGTGATTTGTGTATTTGTGTCTTTCTAACTTCTAATAAACTCACTCCAACTGACCCGTGTCTTGGTGTCTGTCTGCCTGGTAGAACTTCTCACTCTTTCCATGGAATGCGGCATTGCGTAGCTTCTTGAAGGAACGGGGCTACTGTTAATCTCACTAAGTGATTCATTCTGAGAATAGAAGTTGCTTATAGACACATTTTTTTCACTCTCTGCTTTTGATTTTCATACCCAGATACTGCCAACTGTTTCACTTGTTAATGCCTGGGCCAGTTACGATGAAAGCTGGACAGTTTTTTACTTGCTTCCTACAAGGTGTCAGAGGGGTTTTAATGGGATGAGCATTTTATTTAATTTTCCAACCACACTTGAAATCAACATTTAATAAAACCGTTTTTTAAAATTTACTAAAGGGGCACCTGGCTGGCTCAGTCGGGAGAGCGTGCAGCTTTTAATCTCAGGGTCGTGAGTGCAAGCCCCACACTGGGTATAGAGAATACTTAGTTACTTACTTACATAAATAAATAAATAAATATTTTAAAATGAAATTTACTGAAGAAGCAGTACATCTAAGTACTGCATGTACACAAAAGTGTTAAAAAAAGAGTTGTCTCTGTCATCTCTCAGTGGTTTGGGTCCAGTACTGTTACATGGACCAGATGCTTCCGTTTTTATTAAACGTAGAATTTGATTTTGGTCATCTTCAAGAAGCAGCGTTAATTTTCTTGAGACTTTTTCTGTGTGTGACCTTTTTTGTTTCAAAACAGCAGGATGATTTTTGGGGATGTTTTTTGTTTGAACTTCATGTTCAGAGGTTTTTCATGATCATTGGACTATCTTGACTAAAATTTAGAATGGATAGATTTCTATTTAAAGTGTATTTATAGACATGGCAAACTGGTAATTTCTGTAGCCACTGTATTGCCAGCAAGTCACAGACAAGTAGGTCAACCGTGATGTGAATTCTTGTTTTCATTCAGCTTTGCTTCTCGGGAGGCCGGGAGAGGACCGTCTGCAGTTTCACATGTGTTCACGTTTCTTTCAGGATGGCACTGGATCTTTAAAGCGCAGTGGTTCCTTTAGCAAACTCCGGGCTTCAATTAGACGCAGCAGTGAGAAGCTGGTTAGGAAGCTGAAGGGAGGAAGTTCTCGAGAGAGTGAGCCAAAGAACCCCGGGTAATTATCTATCTGCAGCCCCTGTTGACCGCCCCGCCGCGCGGCGTCCAGTGGCCCTTCCTCCCCAAGCCGTCCCCGCTGCTCCTCACATGTCCGCCCTGGGGCTGGAGCAGCTCCCGGCCTGTCTCTTCACTTCCTGGAGAAGGAGCTGTGGAGCTTCCTGTGGCGGGGCTCGAAGGGCGGGGGCCTCCCGAACAGACCTGTGCGATTTTGTTGTTGTGGGTTCAGAGGAAGCCTTAGCAGTGACAAGGGGGAGCTTCGGAGGAAAACACGGAGCACATTCACGTGTTTACTCCAGAGAGCTGCTGTTTTCTTTTTTTAAATTAGTACTAGTTTAAATCCTTTGAAATTAGTTTTGAAAATCCTTTTAAAATCATAACGGTAGCCATGACTATATGAGGCTCACAGGTATTAATGTAGGGAGAATAATGTTTTAAATAGAAGGATTACAGATTCAGGACTTTAGTAGAAGGAGTTTCTTTAGGAATTAAAAAAAAAACCAAAAACAGATTTTCCACGTGTTTAAAAGAAGGTGCACTCCTGAGTCTTAGAGTCTTTTGAATGATACCATTGAAGTTGTCGAAGGAATTTGGTTCTGAGGTATTCTGTTCTTTATAAGGTGCACCAGAGTGTTAACAGTCTTTCACCCCCGTTTCTGGGTTATTTCTGATGTAAACGGCATCTTGTTTGGGATGCATTTCTCACAGAGGCACTGTTCTATCAGCTGTTCCGTGAAACTCTGAATTCCTAAGTGGTGCCTTCTTTTTAAAGATTGAGTCTGAGTAAAACTCTGTTGTACAGGTAACTCTGCTTTCCCTTTTGTGGGCAAGAAGTCTCCCGCCGCTGAGACTGGGAAGCGGGGTCCCTTCATACGACGTGTTGGAGACCTGAGGTTAGGGGCTCTTCCAGCTGCTTCCCGTGTTGTTTTGAGGGGTGTCCAGTCTCGTTCTGGTCTCTGTCAGTGAAGGCATTGCTCCTGAGACCCCTGGGATTCCCTGGTGCTGCCCTGCAGGCTCAGCCCCCCCAGCTGGGGAGCAGAGACCCAGGTGTGCTGTCCGCCCTGTCCCCCCAGGCGTCTCTGCTGATGGACGCACATGTTTTTTGATGGCTTGTGAGGCAGGACAAGCGATTTGTATGGGTGGCTGTCACCCTGCTTCTCAAGGATGTTTCCAAGCCTGTTTCTGTAGAGGGAGTCATTTAAATGAGCTCCACACATGTTTGTTGTGACACTGCCTGGAAGATGCACTGTTGAAAGCCAGCCGGGGCTTCTGGAAGGTTGTAGGGCTGAGCAGCAGACTGCCGTCTTGTCCCGTCTGCACCAGAGCCTGCGACCCGACAGATGAACGTGCATCCAGGAAGTTGCCTTTGGGATAAAGTGCTTGTTTTAAAATATTTACAGAACTAAATGATAGGTCAACTATCTGCCTCACCGAATTTTGAAAGATTATTTATTTATTTATTTTTTTGTCCACGTTGTAAGGATCTGAACAGACTGTTGAATAGTCGCTTAGTTTTTGCTCCTGGACTGGATCTGATGAGCGGAAGTGCTCTCCACACGCCATAATTTGGCTCCTCCAGGGCAAACACACTGGCTGTTGGAGGTTCTGGATGTTTTGAAGCTTTTTAAATGCAGAATCCAATTCTGGCACTGAGTCTTATGACGTGGCCCTTCCTTCCCACGTGACAGAGCTCAGAAGTTTTCTCTCCCCCTCCTGCGCCTTCTTCCTGTCTCGGCCGGGACGTAGCACTGCGGATGCTCCCCGGTGTGGCGCTGGCCACGCCCGTGCGCACACGTTGTCACGTGTGGTCCTGGAGATGGTATCTTACTGAACTTGATGGAAACTGAAATGGCTCTAGAAATTTTATCCCATAAAAATGCATAAAACTGCATCGTCTGTCCAGGTAAGAGTGACTGCGTTTATTCACTGGGCCAGTGGTTCTCAGACCTGAGCATCAGCGTCTCCAGGGGGTTTGAACACAGACTGCTGGGCCCCCGCCTTCAGTTTATGGTGCAGTGGGGTCTGCACCCCCACCCCTCCCACCATTGGCCTTTCTGGCAAGTTCGCAGCTAGTGCCAGCGTGGCTGGTCTACGACGACATTTTGAGAACCACCAAACTCGGCGTTCCTCCTGTTTGGTACCCACGGTGTAAGGGAAGGGTGTGGATGCAGCTCGCAGAGTCAAGGGGAGACTTACTGGCAGGAGTCAAACTGTTTTTACCTTGCTCTTGTAAGGAAAAGAGAGTTTGAGGAAGAGGGTTGTATAACTGTCTTAAAAAAAGTCCATTGGCCACTTAAATAATAATAAAGTGTGCCAGTGCGATTTGGTTTGATTTTATCCTTTGTTCTTGAGCAGTGCTGTGTAGACAAAACTTGTTCAGAATTCTAGCAGCACTTACGTAGGATACGTTAGGTTGTTGTGTTTGTCCTGGTTCGGGCATTTTGGGAATGAATTTTACTTGAGGTTAAGTGAATTAAGGTCTTTTGCTTCTGGTGTAGTTCATTCAGTGAGAACTTGGTCAGTATCTGCCATTTGCCAGGCGCGGTGCCCGTCCGTGGTGCAGGCGGGCACTCGGGTGCTGACCCCGGCCTTAGTGCCCATGTCTGGTTGTGCTGACCCTTCAACTCACAGAGCAGGTACTGGTGTGTACTGTTCATGTCGTAGGTAAGTTTATTGTTATAGTTCCTAATGCAGATACTTAAAAATAACCATTAATACCAGTTATTTTACCTTTAAAAGCTAAGGTGATTTACTGTCTGAGGGCATTCCTGGTGGTGGCAAGCAGCCATAGTAACTATGACTGTCTATCACTTAAGTTTAGGTTTTAGGTTATTTGCAGGATATTTCATCAAGTATCTTAAAGGTGTCAAGTGGGAGAAAAAAGTAAATACACATTTAAATCACTCGGTTTCCTTAAAGGTAAAACCATGAAATTTGTTTTAAATTTTGGTTTCTAAGCAGAGAAGTTCTAGCTTCTGAGTGTATTTTGCTAATAAATAATTATTTTTCCTTTTAATATAAAATTTAATATTAAAAATACATAAAGTACGCGAATATATGTAGATACTGAGCTTCAGGGGGTCTCTCTTTTACATGGTCACTTAGGGTGAGTGGTGGGTTTTGGAGGAGGCTCCAGGCTCCCTTCTTAAAACTGATCTGACATGCCCTGCAGACTCAGGCCCAGCCAGAGGGCTGCGCGGGCTGAGCTTCTTGGCTCCTCCACGAACCAGGCTTCAAATTGTGAACGTCTGAGGACACGTGGAATTTACACATAGTATTTAAGACAAATACTTTGCTGAGACAGATGCAGAGAAACTGCTTTTTCTCTACTGGGCTTTAAATATGGATAGACGCGGGGCGTCTGTGTTAAGAACTGGGCAGACACCCCAGTCCGAGAGAGAGGCCCGCTCTCCACGAGGGATGGCTCCCCCCACCGTGACAGGGGCCTTGGGGGTGTCTTTGCTGTGTTTGCCGCCCCTGGTTGACTGACGCGCTGGTTTGTCCTTTTGCATGTCCACTGCCCTGTTTGCAGCATGAAGCGTGCCAGTTCCCTGAATGTCCTTAACGTGGGTGGCAAGGCCGCTGAAGACCATTTCCAAGTAAGGAGCCCTGCCCCACTCAGTGCCCTTAACTACCCAGCTCAGGGAGCTGGGCGGCCGCAGGCCCTTCCCGGGTACCACTGCAGCCTCCGACGGCCTTGGGGGAACACTTCAGTATTTTCTGGGTCTTAGAGAAAGAGGCATCATAATGATATTTCCAGATTCTGCATTAATTTGATTACGTAAATTGTGGGAATGTGCATATCGTGGACATTCTCAGTATACTCATGATCTTTGAATACTTTGATTAAGCTAATTAAAATTTAAATATTCCGATAAAGTAGTATCAGAATTTGGTCACTTAATGTGTATTAATTTGTATGATTTCAGCCTCTGGTAAGTTTGTAACTAATTCATTGTCCATTTAAGCTGTTGTTCAGTGTTTTAAAACTATTAGACCTTTACTAATGTAACTGACATATTGTCACTTTTACACCCAATCTTTAGCACTTTTTTTGGTGTCCCAAGGCTTGCATGAACCTGTCACCTTCACATTTAAAACTGTTGGCACCTTCTTCTAATTTTCCGTTTCTTTCCAACGTCTGGTGTGGCTGTCGGGTGTGGCCAAGGGTGCCGAGCAGACCGGGCAGCTGAGCCTGCAGCTGAGCTTACGGGAACGAGAACCTTCTGACTTAGCAGTTACTGCTCGTCCGCCAGCGACCACACGTCCTGGCCGTTGCACCTCTTAGCAGCCCCGGCCCAGCTGCTCACCTCTTGGGTGCTCACGGGTGGTAGCAGGCCTTCCTCCTCAGCCCCCAGCACCGCAGGAGGTGGCTCTTCCCGGGGTGCTTCCTGCCAGGCCCCCGGTGAGATGTGAGGTGCTGATAGTGCTGGCCGGTGTGCTTGGAGCGCGCCTGCTCGTGAGAGTAAAAGAGGTGTCGCTGTCCCAAAAGGTCTGGGGTCGACCGGGTCCCGCACTCCTCTCTCGGTGCTGGCCCGTGTGCACGTGAGCATCAGGATGCCCGAGTGTTGACTTCAGAGGTGTACCGCTGTGATTGTGAGCTCGGAGACGCCTTGACGCTGGCGTCCTTTGGAGTACGGGTGAAGTGTAATTTTACTATTTGTTTTTTCACGCAGGAACGAAATACTTGTCTGGCAGACTCGCGAGCTCTGAGTGCCAGCCACACTGACCTGGCCCACTGAGGGCCGAGGCAGAGCTAGATAAACCCCCTGAGACTAACGAAGCACTGAGACCCTCCAAGCTTTGCCACGCCCCTCACCCCGCTGCAGGGGACCCACCTCCCAGGTTGCTTCCTTTCCTAGATAGTGCCGTCCACCAGCTCGTGGGGGTTTGTCCCGAGTTCTGTTAAGCTGGCTGCGGCGCTAGCGACCAAGAGCTGCCGACGCGTAAGCGTGAGACCGGCCAGGCATGGTGGCCCATGGCGGCCCACGGCGGCCCACGCGGCCCCGGCAGCTGGCTTCAGCATGTTCAGGTCGGCTGCTGCCCACGGATGCTTGTCCTTCCTGCCATTACACCAGAATCGATTTTATATTTTAATACTGTATCAGGGCTGTAAACGGAAGCTCTGGAACTTTGCACCCTTCTAGACTAAGCATTTGATGAGCTCTGGCAGTGCTGCCTGGAATTCAGAGAGTGGGTGACTTGCCAGTGGGTCTGGGTCTCTGCTGAGTCCCTGCACCTGCAGTGTGTCCCCTCCACGGCTCTGCCGGACGCTCCGCGGGCTCCTGAGCCCGCCCCTGCGGAGCCCGTTTTCCCTCTTCCGGCCCCTGAGTGCTGAGCAGGCAGAGATGTGGGATTTAGCTTTAAAAAGCTTTTCTTTGTAGCATTAAGTAACACAGGGTAGGTTTTGACAGGAACATTTCCCAGTCCCCCAGGGCCCTACCCGTGAGGGGATGCATGAGGCTCACGGGTGGGTTTAGAACGTCCTGAGCAGACGACAAGGGGTTTGTGGCTCCTGGTGGCAGCGGCGGTGAGAAGGGCCTCGTCCGGGCCAGTGGGCGGGAGCGTGAAGACGCAGCAGGTAGATGAGGGGGATCGAGAAACTCAGAGCGTCCCTGTGTATGCTCCTGCTTGTGACCTTAATGTTTGGTGGTGTCACCGCAAGGGTACATGCTTTTGTTTGTCCTCAGTCACGTCTCCCTCCTGAATTGCACTCTGCGGGGGTACGTGCTCACCGGGACTCCCTGAGGGGTCGCCCGGGGGGCCTCCACATACTGCACGTGTCCTTCAGGGGCTGCGGCCTGGAAACTGTTCAGAAATGTCCCATCATTTAAGACCACAGGAGCACGTGGCCTCGCCCGCCGGTGTTTGTGGCCGTGTGCTCGTTCCCGCCCAGGGACTGGCGCTCTGTGTCCTGCCTGCAGGTGTCCTGCCTGCAGGAGCCCTGTGTCTGGCCTCTTTCCGCAGTGCCCGGCTGGCCCGACTGGCCCAGCGTTGCAGCTCCCGAGGGACCAGGAACGGACTTTGTAAACGCTCTCCAGGGTTGGTTTACACGTGGGACGGGTTGTGAGACGCTCGAGCCAAGAGAACGCGGGAGCCGTGTCCCCGCAGAGGCCTTGTGCGCTCTGCACTAGCCCTCGAGGCGCGGGGGCTGCTGGGGCGTGGTGTGGCTGCTGGGGAGGGTCCCGGGAGCCGCCCCCTCCCCTCTGTCCCCGGTGCTCCTCGGGCCACGAAGCGAATCCAGTGCATTGGAAACCTACCCCGTTGCCCTTAGTGATGCTTCCATCTGGAGAACATGGGGCTGAGAACGGGATTTACCGTTACGCTCTCAGGTGGTGGAAACGGGCCACCGTGTAGGGGCCTTGGTCAAATCGCCCCACTTGGTTCTCTGAGGGCCGAGGTTGCCTTGTGGGGCTGTGAGGAAATGTGGCCGGGGTGAGAGAAGCCAGGCGGCCTCCTTAAAGCAGGTCGTAAGAAACCTTCCTGTCTCAGGGGACACTGCCTGGAAATCTGTGATTTTTGAACTTGTATCAAAACAGAAACGAGCCTGGTTATCACTACTTCACTCAAGTCTTGTGTGGATTTTAACGTTCTCGAAGAGAGAAGCAGTGGGGGGGGGGGCAGTCCCTCTTCCGCAACGTTTTCCTTTCTTGTGAGGCGACCCTTAGAGCGTCAGCACCCACTGTACATCATTCCTGTCCCGTTCGAGCCCCGGCCAGCGGACAGGCAGGAGGGGGACAGGAGCCGGCCACGGTCCACAGAGCGCCCTCCACAGGTCGTCAGGGTGGAGGCCGTGGCAGGCCTGGGCCTCCCGACCCTCCCGGCTCTCCCCCAGGCAGCCGACCCGGCAGCTCACGGGGCCAGCGGGCTCTGTGGTGCTTGCTTTGTATTTATGGTATCGGAGGGAGTCTGTTATTTCCTGGAATTAAAAAATTCCTATCATTTGTTTGTTCAGAAAGCTGCTAGAAATAGCATGTAATGAGAAATTCAGTGTTTATGGTAACATAAATATTGCTAAGAATACATCGTTTACAGTTCATAGAACAGACTGCCCGTCGTCGTAACTTTGTAGAATGTTCTTGGGAAGCACGGAGAGGAGATGTTTATACGTGCACTTCTTCCTGAGCAGTATGCTGTACGGTCCTCAAACTTCTGAAAATTCTGAAGTGGTAAAGCAGCGACCGAGGGTGAGGTTCCCATCAGCGGAGGGCGTCCCGTCAGGGTGCACCGCATCCTACGTGTGACGGGGGCAGGCCTAAAGACGCGCACTGTTCCACATTTGTCCCCATCGTCCTCGGGGGAACCCTCGGGGCGGGGGGACCCCAGGTCTGTGAGGCCTGCCTGACAGCACTGAGGAGTGCATGGGACAGAGGGGATGGTGCAGGGCCCGGGAGTCTGGGCCGTCTGTGTCACGGGGAGACCGCCCTGCTGCAGGGGTGTCCCTCTGGGACGGGTGGGCAGGGGCCCAGCACTGGTGTGCATCCCCCCAGGGGTGGCCCGTCTGCCACGTGTACACTGTCTTGGATTGTAGTTTCCTCACTGTTAGTGTGATTTGCCTAGAAAATAATTTGGGATTGTTTATTATTTAATTACGAAAATAAAATGGTTTATTTCCTGGTGTGAAGTCCCTGCACTTGCAGAAAGGCTTTTATAAAATTGCAGCCCTAAAAGACCTTTTTCCTGTTTATACCGGCCATTCTTACCCTTTTGAGGGCCACAGACTATTTTAACAAGGGGATAGAAATTACAAATGAATGTTTCTGCTCTAGAAAATGTCCAAACAGAAGGAGTCTGCCCAGTCCCAGGGACCTCTGCCTCCACCCCTACTGGGTCAGGCGTGTGCCTGTCTTCCTGGCACCAGCCCGGGGTCAGTGTCCGGCTCATGGAACTGCGGGGGGCGATGGCCAAGTCACTGGACTGCTCTGTGCCCCAGTGTCCCTGAGACCAAGGATGGTAACTCCCCATCCCCAGGGGCTGGGGAGAAGACCTGCATCAACGTGGAGGAGTTACTTAGGGCAGAGTCTGGCGGAGAGTGAGCTGTGCTGAGGGGGTCCCAGGCCCACCGTGCCAGGCAGCATGGTGAGCACGGGGGGCATGGGGCACACGGGGAGGCCTCGTCGGGCAGCTCATCCGTGCGCACAGCCTCCCTGCCGTGGAGAAGGTGCGGCCAACACCGTCAAGCACATCCTGACCCAGCAGTGGGTGTGCGGGGTCGTCAGCCCCCCGTGCCTGCAGAGCGGGGAAGGTGCGGCCAGAACCCGCGGCCGACCCACAGCTGCCGTGTCAGCAGGACGCGGTCCCAGGAGTCCCTCGCACTCCCTCCGCGTTGACTGTGTAGGAACAGGACGAGGGGGGCAGGTGAGGGGCGAAGACCACCCTTAGGGTGCGGTCGGGGCGGCGCCGGCTGACCATCAGTCTCATTAGGAGCTGGTTGGACCAGGTCATTCCGAGAGCTGGAGAAACCCGCTCGTCCCAGACGCTGAGACAGAAAACAGGCCCAGCGTTACTTACAAAACCACAGGGGTCCCACCGCCACTTGGGCGGCCCTCCTGCCGGGGGTGGGGGGCTGGGGAGGTGGTGCTCACCCCTGTGGCCCGGGTGCCGTGCCCTGCTCCTCTGTGACCTCTGTCACCTGGAACGTGCAGACTGGGGTCAGCTGCAGCGAGGACCCCACGCTGCCCACCCTGGCGTGGTTGGCTCTGCCCTCCCCGAGCTGCTTCTGCCGTCTGGGGCGGGGGGTTTACCCACCTGGTTGATGCACAGCACCGGGCTCTGGAAGGTGCAGCTCAGCTGGCGCAGGGCGGCCCCCAGTGCCTGCAGACACCTGGCCCTGGGGACCGAGGCCGCGCCATCAAACTCGCAGCGGAACGGGGCGGCCACGGAGTCGATGACCACCAAGCGGGCCATCCCCCGAGACAGCAGCGCGGGCACCTTCTTCCTCACACACTCCAGGAGGGTGTCCTGGAACCGAGGGGGTGGCGTCACCGCCCTTGCTGTTGGTGTCTCCCCGGCTGCCCTGTGCCGAGGGACCCCTGACGCCCGTCCCTTTACTTCTCGAGTCTCCAGTGGGGCCGACAGCCCGTGGGGCCATCACAGTGACCGGGCCTTCCTCCCTCCGTGGCCCCATGCCAGGCACTGAGTCTGGACGCAGCCACGCCGCGAGGCTGACTCGTCACCGCCACGGTCCTGCCAGGCGGGTGTGGGGGCGCCCTGCCCCCTGCCCAGCAGCCCCCAGTGCAGGGAGCAAGGGGGTGGTGGGGTGGGGCCGCCCGTACTGTGAAGTGCCCCCGGGCTCTGCCCACCCTCCGGGGCCTCAGGCCTGCCCCTCGGAGCCGGCTGCCCTGCGGCCTGGACTTGGGCCCTGGTGCCCAGTGACCGTGCGCTGGCCGGCCCCCCTGACCGAAGCCCCGTCTGTGCTTCCGTCTCTAGGGCGTCTCCGGTAGAGCCTCTTTCTGTGGAAAATGACAGCAGCAGCGGCCTCGAGGACGCCAGCGGTAATGTGAGTCCCCCCCCCCCGTCCCCATCCCCGCGGGGGGCTCCGGGGGTGCCTGGGGGCTGGGCAGGTGGGGGCCCCACTGGGCAAGAGGCTGGAAGCCTTCCGCCCCCAGAGCTGTCTTCGGAACCACACTTAGGCCACCGCGGGTCTCGGCGGCCTGGCCCTGACGGTGGCCCTCTCTCACAGTGAAGCCACCCCCGATCTTGGCCTGGAAGACCCAGGACGACGCTGCTTGTTGCCGCCAGGGGCAGCCCTGTGACAGCCGGGGGGCGGCCACCGAGGCTGGAGGGCCCTGGAGCCGGAGGCCTGCAGCACTAACCTCGTCTTCCCCCGTGTCCCCGTGCCACGGAGCACACTGTCCTACTAACAACCGCACTGCTCGTCGGGACGCGCGTCGCTCGCAAAGCCATGGCCACGCTTGGCCCCTGCAGGATGGCGGGGTGGGCGTGGCCTCCCTGCTGGGCTGCGCCTCCCGGGAGACCCGCAGGCCACCTGTGTCCTGACCCTCCGTGGAAGAGGCCGTGGCTGCGGGCCCCGTGGGCCGCGCTTACCGTGCTACTTCCCCAAGCTGTGTGAGATAGGTTTCATTGTACATTTTTTAAAAATTAAAAGTTTATATACCTTACCCTTTGCTTGTAATTTTTTAAACAATCTTTAAACGGGGGGAGACCCACCGGGATCGGGGGGCTCTGCCGGCCGCTGCTGACGTGCCCGGGAGCCGGCCCCACGCAGAGGCCTGCCTTACTCTCCTCCAGCGTACTGCTGCGTCCTCACTTGCCACCTTTCCTCGCGGTCCTTTCCTGCCGTCCTCCATCCCTCCGCCTCAGTGCGCTACGGCGGCAGCCGGCCGGGCCACAGCTCCGCTCCCCTGCCTGCTGGACCTGCCCTGACCTCCCAGCCCTTTGTCCCCTCCCTGGGGGTTCCCGCCACTGCTCTCTGCGCACCGGCAGGGACATGTCACTTGCTGATGCTTCCAGATCTGTCCCCCGAGTGCTGTGGCCAGGTGGCAGTCAGCCATCTGCGGGGCTTGTTGGGGCTGGGGACCTGCTAGGCCCTGGCCGGGTTGTGTCCCGGGGGGGCTCCTGTGCCCTGACGGGGGGCTTTCTGCTCCGCCAGAGGCAGAAATAAAACCCAGTACAGACTGCTCTGGCTGGGACGGCTGGCCTGGACCGCAGGCCCTGTCGTGTGGGCAGCGGGCACCACGGGGTGGCCGGTGGGAGGTGCCCCCTGCAGCTGCGGCCTTTTCCGGGGACTGAGCACCATGGCCGGGGGCACAGGTCAGGGCAGGAGGCGCTGTGCTGGGCACCCCTGCGCCCGCGGGGCCGCCCTCCCCCACTCCTTGTGCGTGGGGGTGACGAGTCCCACAGGATGCCTGGTCCGAACGGAATTTCAGGTACCGGATCGTGTGGCTCTGAACGTGTGGCCCGCGTGTGCAGGCACGTGTCTCTGCTGACGGGTACTGGGGGTGGCCCGGGGTCTCGTGTGTGGCCCTGCCCACCCGACCGACCTCCCCTCGGCACTCAGGGCCACAGAGACACTCACCACGTCGGCCACGTGCTCAACAAAGATCTGGTTGCCAAATTTTATCCTGTCGACCACGTCTCCCGGCACGTCCGTCCGCAGGCGCCGCTGCTGAGCCATGAGCTGCTGCAGACGCGCGCTGGGGAAGACGTCTTCCGTGCAGATGTACACGGCCCCTGGGAAGACAAAGGGCCCCTCCTTGCTGACAGGATGCCACCCCACGGGCCTGTCCCCAGCCTGTCTCGAGTGGAAGTGAATGGAGTTATCAGGGCTCAGGCTTCTGGCAATGCCCTTCCTGAGCACGCGGGGCCATCCCTCAAAGGCTCTGCTCTCGGCTCCTTGCTCCATCCGGGCCTGCACGGCGACAACCATGTCTGTGTGTGACTGGAAAAGCCAGTCGGCAAACAGCGGGTCACGCGTCCCCAGAAGCCCGGACACGCTGGGGCAACAGCCCGGCCCGGGCCTGGATCTCCGCACCGGGGAATGGACCCTAAGCCCACAGCTAGAAAGAACTGGGGGCTGTCCGAAGTAAAGCCTAACATTTGTGGCAACTGATTTTCAACCAAGGTCCCCGGACAGTTCAACGACAGAATGGTCCCTCCACCAAATGGCGCTGGGACAGCTGGGTCCCTGCAGGCCAGACGCTGCCAGGGCATCCAACTCCGAAGAAAACACGGGAAGCCTCTGTGACCTTGGATTCAGCACTGGATTCTCAGATGTGACACCAACAGTGAGCAAAGGCAGAGAGAGAAACTGCACTTGATCGACACGGTACCATCAAGAAAACGAAAAGACACCCCACAGAGAGGAGAAAATACAGGAAATTCCGTGTCTGGGAAGAGTCCCGCAGCCACGTCATACAGAGAGTTCTTACAACTCAACCACAAGACGGCCCAAGTCAGAAACCAGGCAAAGGATCTGAACAGACCTTTCTCCACAGAAGACGTGAGATGGTCGATGGGCCCGTCAGGAGTCGCGAACACCCTCAGACATCCGCCAATGCAGATCAAATCCACCGTGGGACCACCGCCCACCCACGACGGTGGCTCAGATCACGAAGTCCAGCGTCGGCGAGGACAGTGCGCTGATGGGGGTGGCATGCTGGCTGGCGGCCCCTCACCCACTCGGATGCAGCACATGCACGGGACCCCGCGGTCCTGGGTGCGCGCGTGCTCACGAGCCACGTACGCCAGCGTTCAGAGCAGCACTGTCCACAAAAGCCACGAGGTGGAAGCCACGTCACATGGACGGGTGGATGGGCAAACAAACGTGCTCTGGACACACAACAGAATATTGTTCAGCCGGAAAAGGGAACTGAGTACGACACGTGTTCCAGCGTAACGAACCGTGCCAACATCATGCCGAGGGAGGGAAGAGAGACCGCAGAGGTTACGACCTAGGACCTCACTTCCGCGAGACGTCCGGAACAGGCGAATCCCGGGGCAGGAAGTGGAGCCGGGACTGCCAGTGGGCAGTGGGGAGGGCCCGTGAAATGTTCTAGAATTAGGCAGTAGCGATGGAAACACAGCTCTGTGAATACCCTAAAGACCACTGAATTGTACGTTTTAATTTTATGGTACGTGAACTACATCTCAGTTTTTTAAAAAAAGAAACAGCTGGTATTCTGGTGGAGAGCTGGCTCTGCCCCCAGGGCCCCCAGCGGACTCGGGTCCCTCACCCGCATCGGTCGCTGCACAGCCTCAGGCAGGGGAACCGGACGAACCAAAGGACCCACACCACGTATGCACACGCACCCTGTTTGTGCCTAGCTTTGACTTTGATGTAACTGTGTTTTGGCAGAATTTCACACTTAAGAGACGGATACGTGGCGGGACGAGAACCACCAAGCCTGTAGCGAGCGCCTGACCATCAGCATCTCCTTAACCTTCCTGGGCACATTCCAGACCATCCCTCGGGAAATGCCTGCAGACACGGCGGAGCCCCTGACCCTGTCCGCCCCGGGGGCAGCTGGGTGTGACCGTGCTGGCCGGTCTGGGGAGAGCGGGCTGGATGGAAGGTTCAGCGTGGAACCGAGCCTGTCTGCGCAGCCCCAAAGCCCCTTTACCCCCCTGGGTGTGTGGCTGGGAGAGGCACAGGGCCTCGCCGTGCTGCCCCCACCCGCCACAGGCCATGGTGGCTTCTCCAGGGTGGCCCCAGCAGATGGTGACGGGCCAGGGAGAGAGGGGGCTCCATCAAGTGCAGGATTCAAATAAGTCCAGAGTGCCTTCACCATCCTTTTCAAAATTAGGGCTCTCAGATCTCACTGGGTTAAAGGAGTTATTTTGTCAGGAAAACGGGCATCTTGGATGCCACATTTAATATCACAGTAACCTCGGGGCCACCTCGGGGCCCGGGACACCCGCCCGGCTCTCTCCAGGTCCCCCTGCCACTGTGGTCACATCTCCTTTCCCCGGGGCTAAAGCCTGTGCGGCCGGCCCATAGCCCGGCGTCTGACGGACGTCCCCAGAGCCTCCTCGGCCACCCAGCAGCTCGGCTCCCCACAGCCTCATGCCCACCAGTTCCTGGCTCTTGGCGTCCCTGCTTCTGTCTGGCAGACGCGGGGGGCTCCGTGCAGGAGCTGGAAGCACGGGCCTCTGATCCCCAGCGCAGCCTGCGTGGTGTGACGTGGCTGTCACTGAGAGGCCCCTGGGTGGCATGGCGGTGGTGGAGGGGTGGAGACCCCCCAGACCAGCGGTGGACGAGGCAGGCTTCTCCATGCGGCAGGGTCACCTCAGGCCGGGGTTCGAGCGAGCGTGCAGGCAGCTGAGGGGCCACGCTGGGCCTGCCGTGTCCCAGAGTGGGGGACACAGGCTCTGCTGCGGGATGTTTTCAGGGCATCCGGCGCCAGGAGGGGTGGGCCCAGGCAGCTCCGAGGACCCGACCTCGCGGTGCCCTTCCCGCTCCCCCAGGCCAGGCCCGCCCTGAGTACGGACCCAGCCTGGACACAGATGCCAATGGTTAACTGCTCATGTGACCCATCCAGGAGAAAAGGGGTCTGCTGGGCCAGAATGTTGCAGGCCATCGTGGCGTGAAGGAGACCAGGCTGGGAGAGCTTCAGGATCAAGACTGGACGGCCAGCCCTGCGCTCCACACCCGGCCTGTCCCGGGCGCAGCACCCCCCCCGCACAGGGCCCCGCGGACACACTGGTTGAGCAGACGCAAGCTGGGCATCATCGTGCCTCTTTCGTGCTTCCAAGGCCAAGTCCATCCACCCAGCACCAGCACCAGGCGCCTGGCCCTTAGGCCCTCCCGGACTGCACCTCGCACAGAGACGCAGGGACGGGACTGACACACAAACGCCCGCCTCACGTGTGAGCAGGCGCCGCACGTGGTCGGGAGCCCCTGCCCGTGGCCAGCAGACCCGGCCGGCGCCAGACACCGGGGGTTCATGGGAGCCGCGCAGACCCGGCCCCCCACGAGAGCTCACGGTGCTAACGGGAAGCAGGAGAGATTCCAGACCGAGCGGCCTGCTGCCGGCGCCCCCGCGGGGGGCCCTGCGCATAAACCCGGTGCGTGTCACCGGGGCGGGACGTCTGGCCCCGGCTGCCTCCCCAGCCCGCCACGTGGCCCAGCCTGTCCGGGCAGCGGGGCGCGCACATGAGCTTGGAGCTGCCGCCTGCTTGTGTGCAGCCTGGTAGCGAGGCGGGACCGTGGGGCGTCAGAGAGGCAGCTACCCAGCAACGGCACGTGCGCCCCAGTGACCTCACGTTTAGTAAAAACAATTTGGATTTTGAACGCTTGAGTGACTCACGCAGGCAGCCTGGAAAAGTCCCTCTACCGCGTAGCCCCCGTACAAATGTCAGCCACACAGAGCAATGCAAGGAGGACAGCCCGGCCCCCGCCACGCAGCACAGGCCCGCCCGCCCCCACCGCCCTGGGGCCCCAGCCCCCGCGCTCCTTCCCCGAAGCAGAAGAGCGAAATACTGCTTGCCCAGCTCTGCCTCTGTGGACCGCAGGGTTGGCAGGCTGGTGGTGTGAGCGTGTGTACGAGCACGTGTGCAGGCTGGTGTGAGCGTGTGTGTACGAGCGCGTGTGCAGGCTGGTGGTGTGAGCGTGTGTACGAGCGCGTGTGTGCAGGCTGGTGTGAGCGTGTGTGTATGAGCGCGTGTGCAGGCTGGTGTGAGCGTGTGTATGAGCACGTGTGTGCAGGCTGGTGGTGCGTGTGTGTATGAGTGCGTGTGTGGAAGCTGGTGGTGTGAGCATGTGTACGAGCGCGTGTGCAGGCTGGTGTGAGCGTGTGTACGAGCGCGTGTGTGCAGGCTGGTGGTGCGAGCGTGTGTGTACGAGTGCGTGTGTGGAGGCTGGTGGTGTGAGCGTGTGTACAAGCGCGTGTGTGCAGGCTGGTGGTGTGGGCGTGTGTACGAGCGCGTGTGCAGGCTGGTGGTGTGAGTGTGTGTACGAGCGCGTGTGTGCAGGCTGGTGTGAGCATGTGTGCAGGCTGGTGTGAGCGTGTGTACGAGCGCGTGTGTTCAGGCTGGTGTGAGCGTGTGTATGAGCACGTGTGTGCAGGCTGGTGGTGCGAGCGTGTGTGGAGGCTGGTGGTGTGAGCGTGTGTACGAGCGCGTGTGCAGGCTGGTGTGAGCGTGTGTACGAGCGCGTGTGTTCAGGCTGGTGTGAGCGTGTGTATGAGCACGTGTGTGCAGGCTGGTGGTGTGAGCGTGTGTGTACGAG